CCGTGCATCACCAGCAACTTCTCCCCCAAGAAAAGAAGGAACACCCCTGCCCCTAGGCATAAACAAGCATCCTCGCAGTGCTGGCATAGCCTGCTGCAAGGGGAGTTTTTTGGTTTGCCCGGAGATGGGCTTTAAGGACTACACTAACTAGTTACATATACAGTAAGTGCGGTGTTACTATAGCTATGCATGCAATTATGTTCTGTCCAGAGGTAAGAAAAGCACCGTTTATTATATAGCCTCAGTGATGTCCCAACAGTCAGCAATTTTGTATCGCTATCAACTAATGAATAACAAATGTGTATTGTATTTGACGTGGATTGAGACATTTATATTGAAAAATACACATGGTATAAAATGCGCATAACTTGAGAGCTGTAAGACGGAACTGTCTGGATTTAATTAAAGAGAATAAGTGTTGCACAATTTGAATATGATGACATTTTGATAGGTTAAGATCAAACTCCTGGGTGCTTTGACTGCTTCCTTTCAGATTTGATTAATTTATACAGGAATTAGTTGTGGTAGCAGTACACCACGCCTGTTGGCTGTAGAGTCATTTAATAACTGAAGGGAACTGATCCTTCACAGCATAAAATAAAGGTTTAATACAAGTTTAATGCCTGTTGGTTAGGGTTGTGCGCTGTGCACATCTATTGTTTGCAGGGCCGGATTTTCTTTCTCTGCTGCCCCAAGGCCAGGTTCCTCAATGCGCCCCCCTGTATACAGGCTGCGTACAAGTGTTCTCTGCAACATCGCCGAGACAAAACAAGCGGCAGCTTTCCTGCTGTACATTTAGCTCTGCTTGCCCAAAACAGGGCTAAATGTAGAAAACAACTACCTGCCCGGCTCCCGGAACTGCATGTCCCGGGCATCGGAAGATAGGAATTCCACACCTCTGCTGCCATTCTACTCCCTGCTGCCCCGAGGCCGGGCCACGGTTGGCCTTGTGGGAATTGTGTGATTGTTTGCATTCCCCTTTTCTTTGAATTTAAAAAAGGAATACAAACCTTGTTACATAGTATTTGAGGTTGAATAAAGACACAGGTCCATCAAGTTCAACCTTTGTGTGTCTGTATGTGATTGTGCATGTGTGTGTGTGTGTGTGTATATGAATGTGGTCTAGTTTTTAAGAGTACCTGAACCCCTGTATGTTGCGGTCTCTGAGGAAGGTATCTAAATGCTTTTTGAATGATTCAATATTCTTTGCTAATACCACTGCTTGTGGCAGCGAGTTCCAGATTTTAACCGCTCTGACTGAAAAAAAGCCCCTACTCCCCTTGTAGTTAAATCTTTTCTCCACCAGTTTTAGGTGGTGGCCTCTAGTCCTTGTTACGGAGTAATTGTTAATGACATTTTTGCTGCATCCATTTTTTTTCCACAGGTGAACTGCACATTTTAGGCCTGAAGATTACTTAACCCCCCCAGACATTAGACATTTTCTAAAAGTAGAGACCCAGTAGAATAAAATGGTGTCAGTTTTTTATGTCACATGACATTTGCACTGCTGTACTACTGTATTGTCCTTTCACTAAAAATCTAAATTTTCAGTGATAAATACACTCAAATTGATTTTAGCTAACACAAACATAATATAATAACCAATTTTTCTGTAAAATATAAAAGATGAGGTTGTGTTGAGTAAATATGTACCAAACCTGTCAAGCTTCAAAATTGCACGTGACCGGGAAATGGTGAAATGCTACAGTATCCAAAATTGTTCATTTGACGTTGAAAGCCTTTTCATTGGTTTAGAGTTATCAGTGAAGAATGGCCCTAAGACTATTGCTGTCATTTACATGTATGCAGTGTCACCCAGTATGTGTGGCACAATCATTG